GGGGGACGCCCGCGCGAAAAGGGGGGGGGGGGGGGGGGGGGGGGGTGACATTGCCCTGGATTTGGCCACATGGAGCCAGGACCACAGCAGTGCTCTGGGGGCTACTGACAGCCTTCTGTGGGCTACTCAGTGTCATCAGGGGCTACTCACAGCCAACCAAGGGCTCCTCATGGTCATTTAAGGGGCTACTGTGTCTATCTAGTGGCTACTTATGGTCATGCAGGGGCTACTCCTGACTCTGCAGGCTACTCACGGCAACCTGGCTCCATCCTGGGGCTACTTGTGGCCCTCAGGGGCTACTGACAGCCACCCAGGGGGCTCCTTGTGACCATCCAGGGGCTACTTGTGGCCATCCAGGGGCTACTTGTGGCCATCCAGGGGCTACTTGTGGCCCTCGGGCTACTGACAGCCAAGCAGGGGGCTCCTTGTGGCCCTCAGGGGCTCTTTGTGGCCATCCAGGGGGTTCCTTGTGGCCCCTCAGGGGCTACTTACAGCCATCAGGGGCTACTGACAGGCTACTCAGGACTGTCAGGGGCTACTTGTGGTCATCTAGGGGCTACTCACAGTCATGTGTGAGCTATCCATGACCCTGTGCAGGCTACTCATGACAATCCAGAGCCTGTACTCATGGCTTTCAAGAGGCTACTTATGGCCTTCAAGGGGCTACTTATGGTCATCCAGGGGCTACTTATGGTCATCCAGGGGCTGCTCAGGGCGATGCAGAGCCTGTACTCAGGCTCCATGAGGAGCTCCTCCCAGCCCGTGTGGCAGCAGCTCCTCCCTGCGTGGAAGATCCGGGAGCTGGCACGAGGGGCCACGTCACCGGCGCTCCCGGCACGGGGCAGCTGGAGCGACCGGTTGGCAGCCAAGGTGTGGCAGTGGAGAAAGCTGCCCTTTCCTGAGGTGTGGGAGCCCTTTCTCGAGGCTGTGGGGCCAGGCTGGGAGTGCTTTTCCCGAGGTTGGGGGGCTCCTCCCTGCTGGGCCAAGTCCTGGGAGCAGCCAGAGCAGGCACGGGGAGCCCCGGCTCCACGGGGCAAGACAGAGCACGCCAGGAGCTCGTCCTCCTTCCCTTGGCACCACGCTCAGCTCTGTCCCTTTATATGGATTTTTCCAGGCTGTGTGTGAGGTGTGCACAAGCAGCAGAGGCACAGCACAGCTCCTGCCAGCGTCCTTCATCCCGATGGTGTCATCTGGCCAGAGTATGGGATGAGGCTCCTTGGTCCTGGGGGGTCCTGCATGGAGTGAGGGTCTCTAAGTCTCCAGGGTCTGCTGTGTGATTTGGTCCCTCCACTGAAGCACAGCCTGATATCTTCATTCCACATCACTCTTAATTGGTTAATTGACAGAGCATCGATGCTTGATCCAGGCCTGCTCGATCCACAGGGGTTTAGCAAGGATTCCCATCGATTCCTGTCGCTCTCTGTCACCAGAAAGCTGCTGCCACAGTTTCCCATGGTGGCTGCTCATCAGTTCACAGACTTTTACCCCCACACTGATGGGAGGTTCCCTCAAGATGCTCAGAGCAGTGCTGGCTTGCCTGGGGTCTCCTCATGGGGGGAGTGTGGGATGAGGCTCCTCGGTCCTGGGGGGGTCCCACATGGGGTAGGGGCCTCTTTCTGCAAGGCTCTGGTGTCTGCTGTGTGATTTGGCCCCTCCACTGAAGCACAGCCTGATATCTTCATTCCACATTGCTGTTAATTGGTTAATTGACAGAGCATTGATGCTTGATCCAGGCCTGCTCGATCCACAGGGGTTTAGCAAGGATTCCCATCGATTCCCAGGTCCTGCCATGGTGGCTGCTCATCATTTACACAGACTTTTACCCCCACACTGTGATGGGAGGCTCCCTCAGGGTGCTCAGAGCTGTGCTGGCTTCCCTGGGGTCCCCTCGTGGCCCCAACACCAGGGCTGATGTCTGTTGAGGGTTTGCCAGAGCCCAGGGTGTGTCAGAATGTCAGAATGAGCCCCCCCAAAAAAGTAGCCCCTGTTTGGCCATAAGCAGCCCCCCTGGTTGGCCACAAGGAGCTCCCAAAGCAGCTGCAGGGCCAAGAGCTGTACCATGCACTGCAGCAGGAGGGAGGTACAAGAAGCAGGCACTGGGAAGTCTGTGATTTATTAAAAGGCACTTGAATCCATACAAAAGTGACACGTGGACCCCTGGAAGCCACTCAAAAGCCCTGCCCCTCAAAATCCTGCTGCCAGGCAGGGCCATAGGCACGGAAAACTTTCCTCCCACCCTGGGGTTTGAGGGGCTTGTGGTACCCCAAAGGATTTGCTGAGAGCTCCTGGGCCTTCACTGAAGGATGCAGAGCTGGAGGCAGGAGGTCCTTCCTGGTGTCCCACTGGGAGTGGCCGAGGGGACAGCGGTGGGGCCAGCCCAGGCCAGAGTTGGGGTGCTCCTGAGGGGCCCCCTCAGGCGGGCAGGGCGCTGTAGGGCTTGTCCTGCTCTGGCCTGTACCGCTGGAAGAGCCAGAACCGCACGAGGCTGGTGACGATCCCTGGCACGTTGGGGACCTGCGGGAGGACATGGGGGGACAGTGGATGTACCCCTCCCCCTGTGGTGCTGGGGGAGGTTTATTGGCCCCATCCCAGCTAATTAATGAAAATCAATAGTCATCATGCTGAGCCCTGGCTGGGTGACACAGACGGTGCTGAACGGGGCCAAGCCAAGTGCTCAGCTGAGCCATGAGAGGGGAATGGGGTGGGATGGGATGGGATGGCAGTGGGGTGGGCATGGGGATGGGATAGAGTGGAATGGGATGGCAGTGGGGTGGGGATGGGGATGGGATGGGATAGGATGGGATGAGATGGGACGGGATGGTGGTGGGGATGGGGAAGGATAGGATAGGCTGGGATGGGATAGAGTGGAATGGGATGGCAGTGGAGTGGGGACAGGGAAGGATAGGATGGGATGGCAATGGGAATAGGGGTGGAATGGGGACGGAGTGGGGTGAGATGGGAATGGGATGGCAATGGGGTGGGGATGGGGAAGGATAGGATTTGATGGAATGGGATAGGGATAGAATGGGGATGGAGTGGGGTGAGATGGTGCAGACAGAACAGAATGGGATGGGATGAGATAGAGTGGGATGGGATGGGATGGAGAAGGGTGGAATGCAGGTGAAGCAGGCCAGGGTGGGGTGGGATGGGGATGGGACTGCATGGATGCAATGGAGTAGGATGGGTTGGGACATGATGAGATGGGATGGAGTGGGATGGGATGGCACCCCTCAGCGTTCCACCACCCCAACCCACTGTGATGTAGGGATCACGGAGCTGCAGGCCATAGAGTGTCCAGCTGCTGGAGGCCACAAGGGTGGTGACGGTCAGGGGGAAGGACAGGCACCGCGTTGACTTGCTCCGGACAACCTTGGCCTGCAGGAGCAAACGTTAGGCAGGGCCTGGGCTGGCAAGCCCCAGCTCTGCCAAGCCCCACACACCAGGTCAGCCAGCGGTGAGAGGTACATGCTGATGGTGAAGACACTGCAGAAGAGCCCCAGGTGTGTCAGGCGTGTCCCCGTGTCAACCAGGATGGTGAAGTAGCCACAGCCAGTGACCACCACAGCCAGGAGCAGCAGGACCTGCAGCAGCACGGGGCGCTGGGAGGGACAGCAGGGGGACGTCAAGGTGAGGGTCCCCCATCCTCCCCATCGCCCCAGGCCCCTGCCCCACCTTGGCAGGGCTGTAGTAGAGATACACCAGGATGTAGAGGGTCTGCAGAGCTGCCCCGATGGCGTTGACGGTGATCACTGTCCCGTCCCCCTTCAGGCAGCCATAGCCCAGCCAGCTCAGGTTGCTGCAGGGATATGGCACAGGCACTTGGCTGCAGCCTGGGGGATCCCCCCTGCCCCTCAAATCTATGTGACACCCCTCCCCAGGACCCGACCCTGCTGTACTTGGCATCGGTGGTGAGGAAGGGCAGGAACTGGATGTTCTCCACACTCTTGGTTGCCAATATCTGGCGCAGGTCGGACCTGGGGAGGGCGGAGGGCAGCACTCCTGGGTGCCCGGCAGTGCTGGGGTTGGGGGGCTCCAGTCTCTGCAGCCAGCAGGCACTGCAGCCCCCACTCCCCTCCCCCTGCACCCCCAAAACAGGACTCACACCACCCCTTCTGCACCAGCCATCCATGCCCCACTGCACCCCCAAAGTGACCCTGGTGCCCCCCCGACCCTCCTCATTGCACCCCCCCCATGGCCTCCATTGCACCCCCAAACTGGTCCCCATTACACCCCCTACTGCCCTCCCCACTGCACCCCCAAACTGGCCTTAACACCCTCCCTAATTTACCCCCAAATATCCCTCCATGGCCTCCACTGCAGCCCCCAAAATGCCTCTGGTGCCCTCACTATTGCACCCCCAATCCTCCCCAAGGCCCCCACTGCACCCCAAAACCAGCCCTGGGGTCTTCACTGCACCCACAAATCCCTCTCCCCAAGGCCCCCACTGCACCCCAAAACCAACCCTGGGGTCCTCATTGCATCCTCATCCCCTATGGCCCCACTGCACCCACAAATCCCCTCCCCAAGCCCCCCCTCTGCACCCCAAAACCAGCCCTGGGGTCCCCCCTTTGCCCCCCGCCGCCCCCGGCCCTCAGTGCAGCCCCGAGCTGGCCCCGGTGCGTTCCGCATCGCCCCCGCCCCGCCCGGGGCCGCCGCCGCCGATCGCTCACAGGCCGGTGGCGAACATGGCGAGGGTGGCGGCCAGGCAGACACCGGCGAGCACCGACAGGGCCATGCCGGACACCGGGAGCGCGGCGGGGCCGGCGCTGCCCGCGGCGGAGCGGAGCGGGGCGGGGCGGGACGCACTACCGGGGAGGGGCGGCGGGGATCCGGCTCCGAGCGGGGGGAGCGGCGCCGGCTGCACCGGCGGGACCTGCCGCGGGCACCGGGAGGGCACCGGGGCCGGTGTGGGGGGGAGCACCCCAAGGGTGGCGGGTATTGAGCGCCCCACTTCAGGTTTGGGGGGCCCAGGGTGAGCCCCGTGGTGCAGATTGCGCAGCCCGGGGTCTCACACCCCTGTGAGCCCAGCTCCCCACCCCCGCCTCCTGCAGGAGTCACACATCGCTGTGACAATTCCTCTGGGATCCACATTTCCCTGTGACCCCGCTGTCCCAGGGTGTCCTCACATATCCTGGGGGTCACTCATCTCTGTCACAATTCCCCAGGATCCTGCAGCCATGAGATCCACATTTCCCTGTGATCCCTCTGTCCGAGGGTGTTCCCACACATGCTGAGGGTCACACATCCCTGTGACAACAATTTCCCTGGGATCCACATTTCCCTGTGACCCCTCTGTCCCAGGGTGTTCCCACACATGCTGAGGGTCACACATCCGTGTGACAATAATTTCCCTGGGATCCACATTTCCCTGTGACCCCACTGTCCCAGGGTGCCCCCACACATCCTGCTGGGGTCCCTCATCCCTGTGACCCCTCTCCGTGACCCTGCATCTCTAGGGTCCCCCACATTCGGGTGTCATGCATCCCTGTACCCCAAAATCTCACCTCTCCAGGACCCTCGCTCCCTGAAATTCCCAATTCCAGGGCCCCCAAATCCCTGTGATCCCAGCTCGCCGCACCCACAGTGTCTCCCCCTCGGGGGTCCCACATCCCTGGGGTCACCCCGTGGGGGCCCCTGGGGTGCAGCCAGGCTGTGTCCCCTGCCCAAGCCCCCTCCTCACCAGCGGTGGGTTTATCAGACCCATCCCACGGGGTCTGTCGCATTCCAGCGGGGTTTGTCCCAGGAGCCGCTGCCCCCCACCTGGAAGCTCCCTCCAGTGCAGGGGGAGGGGTCCCTATCCTCAGGGCAGGCCTTTGTGTCACCAGATAAAGCCGGGGACAGTGCCAGCCACTGTGGCACTTCGCCACTTAACAGCCCCGTGCAAACACCAGCCAATTAATTAATTAACCAGCCCAACCCCCCGCAGGGGCCAGGAGAGCCTTGGCCCAGGAGGGTGGGGGAGGTCTCAGGAGCTCAGCACGGTTTTGGTTATTTATTCCCGACAATGGTATAAAAAAGTCCCGTGTTAGAAAGCTGTACAAAGGGGGTGCTGGGGGGCCCCTCCGGCACCCAGCGGAGGGGAGGGATGGGGAAGGGCCAGGGGATGAAGGAAGGGGTAGGGGTGCAGCGCACTGAGGAGTGGGATGTTTCTCTTAACCCCGCTCCCCTGGCTGCGGGGCGTCTCCAGCCTGTCTGTGCTCCCAGGCCACTGACACTGGGGGGTTAGTGGCCCCCTGCACGGGTGTCACCAGGCCACCCCCACGTCCCCGCCTGCAGGACACATTCCAGTTCCAGCCCACCACGGGGAAAGCCCCGAGGGCGGTGGGCGAGCTCAGCTGCGGGGCAGGGGTGCCAGCCCCCTGCCCCTCTCCAGTCTGGGGCACCTCAGCCCCTCCAGCTCCAGGCTCCCGCTCGGCCTCTGGCTGCCAGGAGCATCCTGGAAGGGCCAGGGAAGCCTGAAGGCTCCAGCTGCTCCGATGGCTTTGGGCCCTCCAGCCCCATAATACTGACAAATCCTTTCCTGGCCCAGATGTGCGCAGGGCAGGGCACACGGGGCAGATGTGCGGGGACCACGGGGGTCCCCAATGGCCACAGCCTCGGTGGGTCCGGGCACGAGGGGCGGCTCAGAGCCCCTGCGGCAGCAGGAGGGGCAGCAGGAGGCTGATGAAGGTGAAGGGGCGGCTGCTGCTGCGCATGGCCGAGTTCTGCCCCACGCTCCTCAGCACGTGTGCGGCCGCATCGTCTGCGGGAGGAAAAGAGGAGCCATCAGCAACCAGCAACCCCAGAAGAGAAACTGTACCCCAAACCAGCAGCTCATCACCCCTGCAAAGGGTTGCCGCCAGATTTGATACTTCAGCCAGCTCCAGAGCCCCCAGGAGGGGCAGATGAGCCCCACAGCCCCCCACAAACCCCTGGGTGGCTGTGTTCAGGCCAGTGCCCCCCACCTGCCTCCCCCCCAGGCTCAGCCTGGTGCCCCCAAGAACACCCTGTCACCCCAGAAAGGGAAACTGGCTCAGCCCCAACCCACAGCCCCCCACACACCTGCCTGGATCCTCCCCTTCTGCGTCGAGGCCGGGGCAGGCGGTGCTGGAGCTGCGGAGCAAACAGGGGGTCACAGAGGGAAGGGCAGCACCCCAACCTTCCCAAAATCCCAAAATCCCGTTTCTCTGTTGGCTGTCCCCCCCCCCCCCCCCCCCCCCCGGGGGGGGGGGGGGGGGGGGGGTTTCTTCCTGCTCCCCCTCTCTGCGGATAATGATGGGTGAGAAAAAGCAATAAAAACCCAAAACAACCCCAAAATGAGGAGGAAAGGGGGGTAGAGAGCAAGCAAAGCCTTGGCTCCCCGGGGGAAAGGCGTTCCCGAAGGGCAGAGCAGTCCGTGCAGGCGCGTGGCCGGGGTAGGGGTGGGGCACCTAATTGTTGTTGGAATTTATCCTCCCCGCGGGAAACAGGGGAGGGGGCGGTGGTAGGTGAGGAGGAGGAGGGAGGGTCTGTGGAAGAGGATGGAGTCAGCCTGGTGCCCCCAAGAACACCCTGTCACCCCAGAAAGGGAAACTGGCTCAGCCCCAACCCACAGCCCCCCACACACCTGCCTGGATCCTCCCCTTCTGCGTCGAGGCCGGGGCAGGCGGTGCTGGAGCTGCGGAGCAAACAGGGGGTCACAGAGGGAAGGGCAGCACCCCAGCCTTCCCAAAATCCCGTTTCTCTGTCGGCTGTCCCCCCCTCCCCGCCCCCACCAACACCTTCCTGGCCAAGCTGCGCGTGCCCACACCCCGGGCTGGCCAGGGGCCACGGCCAGGCCGTGACTCAGCGCAGCCAAGGCCACGCTGGGAAGGAGGGGACGCGGAGGGGGGGCCCTGAGGGGGTGGTGATACTCACTGCCTTTGCCTGTCACCGTCACCTTCAGCTTCAGGCAGGCTTCACCGTGGTGGTGGATGGGTTTGGCTGTGAAGGGAGAGGCAGGTTAGGAAGGGATGGGGGGGAGCCCGATGGGGAATCCCTGCAGCACCTCGGAGCCCCCCCCCGCAGTCCCCCAGCACTCACAGATGTAGTAGTAGCTGTGTCCCTCCCTGAACTCCTTGCCCAGCGTGAAGGGAGTGAAGCGCTGGAACTTCTCTGAGAACTTCTCGGGGCCGTGCAGGGCGCTGGGCTTGTCGCATTCCCAGCGGATCTGCTCCTTGGAGCGGGGCTTGCAGGCCTGGTACTCCTCCAGCTCCACCAGGTACAGCGTGTAGCGCTCCATGACCCGGGGGTCCACGCTGCCCTCCTCGTAGTGGGGGCAGATAATGTCCAGGTAGTCATTGAGACGAACCTCCACCGTGTAGTCACTCCACAGAAACCTGCACCAGGAGGGTCGGCAGGGGGGTCAGGTCTGGGTTTGGGGCTTTACTTGCACCCCCAAATCCCCCATACCCAGGGGGGCCAGCACCTCGGCCACGCCAGCGCTGCCTGGGGGCACCCTTGGGTGCACCCTCCCCTGTGCTGAGTCTTGCAGCACCTGGAATAGCTTCGAAAGGGCAGCCCCCCCTTCACTCCCCCTCCGGCTCGGCCCCCCGGCGGTGAGTGGTGAGCGCACCCCACTTCCCAGCGCTCCCCAAGAGCCGGGGAGCAGGGAGGGGACCCGCTGGGACGCGCAGCCTGCCCGCACCCTGCCCGGCCCAGCGCTGCCGGAGCAGGAGGCGTCGCGGCTCTCGCCGTGGGGCAGCCAGCCCGGCTCCAGCTGCGCCCTACACCCCACCCGGGGGGGGCACGCCGGGGGCCTCCGCGGGGTCCCCACCTCGCCGGCTGTGGTGGCCTCGAGAGGGCACAGCCACCCCAAAAAAACTGCGGAGGGGGGGGCACAGAGGACACGGCCCTACAATCTGGGGGAATCCGACATCCGTGGGGGGCACGGCGGGAGGGAGAACCCCCAGAACCTGGGGAGGGAGCGACTCAGCCCAGGGAAGGAGGGGAAGCCCAAAATCTCCCCAGGGCTGCCTGAGTGGGGGGGCACCCCCACAGCCTGGGGGTCTGGAGAGTATGGGGGGCTCCCCGAAAGCCAAGGGGGACGTTCCTAGAGCCTGAGAGAGCTCATGCACCTCTACAAGCAGAGGGAGTCACGGCCGCGGCCGGGGGGGACCCCCAGAACCTGCAGGGCTGTTGCTTGAGATGGGGTCACCCCGCAGCCCCGGCGGCCGGTGAGCGGGGGGCCCCGATCCAGGTCTACCCCCCCGCACATCCTGCCCCGTGTTTGTCAACACGGTCCCCGGGGCCGGCGCCGGGGCTGGCGCCGCGCCCCCCCCCGCGGGAAGGAAGCGGCCCCTTCGCACGGCCCTGGGAACGGAAAGGCCCCCCCGGGCGCACCTGGACCGGCCCCGCCGCCCCCCGCACGGCCCCGCACCGGCCCCGCCACCTCGTCCCGCACAAAGGCCGCCGGGGAGGGGAGCGGAGCGGAGCGGCGCCGCCCGCGCCCTCGGGGCGGCCGGTGCCGGGCTCGGTGCGCGTTCGCGGGGGGGTCCCGGTGGGAGGCGGGGGTCACTCACCGCGGGTTGGAGCTGTTCCAGAACACCGTGTGCCGCTCGGCCGCCGCTGCCCAGCACAGCCCCAGCCCCAGCAGGGCCAGGGGCACCCCCGGCTGCCCCATCGCTCCGCGGGTGCTGCGCTCCACGGGCGGCCCCTCGCCCGCCCCCGCTTATGTACGGCCCCGCCGCCGCCCCGCCCCCGCCACCGCCCCGCGCTCGCACAACAACACACGGGACCAGGCGGGGGGGGACACCGCACGCACGACACACCCCCACCGGTATCGGTCAGGGGGACGGAAACCACCCCCACACCGAGAGCAGCACCGGCGGGGACACGCACCCCCGGACACCGGGACCACCGGGACCGGCAGCAGGCGGGGGGGACACAAACCTTCCCTACCGAGACCGGCGGTAACCGGGACAAAAACACACCCCCCCGCCCCCACTAGGACCGGGCCGGGGGACACAAACCGCCGCCTCCCCACCGGGAATGGCACCGGGAAGGGGACACAGTCCCCGCACAACACCACGCTCCAGGTCCCCCCCACCTCCACAAACACACACCCCATCCCCCCACACGGGACCGGCACAGAGCAGGGCCACCCCCCGAAACAGTGACCCACACCGGGCAGGGACTCTGCACACACACTGGAGGCTGTGGGTGCACACTGGGGGGCTGTGGGTGCAGGATGGGGATCTGTGGGTGCAGGACAGGGGGCTGTGGGTGCAGGACAGCGGGCTGTGGGTGCAGACTGGGGGATATGGGTGCAAGATGGGGGTGTGGGTGCAGGGTGGGAGTATGTGGGTGCAGGACAGGGGGCTGTGGGTGCAGACTGGGGGATATGGGTGCAAGATGGGGCTGTGGGTGCAGGATGGGGGGCTGTGGGTGCAGGACAGGGGTCTGTGGGTGCAGGGTGGGGCTGTGGGTGCATAATGGGGTCTGTACATGCAGGATGGGGGTCTGTGGGTACAGGAGAGGGGTCTGTATGTGAAGAATGGGGGTCTGTACGTGCACAATAGGCCTGTGGATGCACACGGATGAAAGGCTATGGGTGCAGGACAGGGGTCTGTGGGTGCAGGGTGGGGCTGTGGGTGCATAATGGGGTCTGTACATGCAGGATGGGGGTCTGTGGGTACAGGAGAGGGGTCTGTATGTGAAGAATGGGGGTCTGTACATGCACAATAGGCCTGTGGATGCACACTGGGAGGCTGTAGGTGCAGGACAGGGGCCTGTAGGTATAAAATGGGGGTCTGTACGTGCAGGACGGGGGTCTTTAGGTGCAGAACAGGGGTCTGTAGGTGCAGGACAGGGGTCTGTAGGTGCAGGATGGGGGTCTGTAGGTGCAGGATGGGGATCTGTAGGTACAACATGGGGGTCTGTAGGTACAACATGGGGGTCTGTATGTGCAGGATGGGGGTCTGTAGGTGCAGAATAGGGGTCTGTATGTGCAGGACAGGGGTCTGAAGGTGCAGGATAGGCCTGTGGATGCACACTGGGAGGCTGTAGGTGCAGGATTGGGATCTTTAGGTGCAGAACAGGGGTCTGTAGGTGCAGGACAGGGGTCTGTATGTGCAGAATGGGGGTCTCTAGATGCAGAACGGGGGGCTGTAGGTGCAGGACAGGGGTCTGTATGTGCAGAATGGGGGTCTCTAGATGCAGAACAGGGGTCTGTAGGTGCAGGACAGGGGCCTGCAGGCGCAGAGCCGGGGTGGGCACAGCGGGCACGCTGCCACTGCCTGGCAGGAGCGCGGTGCCTCGCTGTCGGCTCCCATTTGCTCTGACACGGATCCATCCGTGTCCCGGCCGGCACGCGACGCTTCGCCGCGTGTTGTGAAGCGATAACTCAGCCGCATTTGCAAAACAACTTTCCTCTTGTTTATTCCATAATGATCCATTGATTGTGGGTAATGTTGCATGCCCTGTGCCGCAGCGGGCGCGGAGCGCTCCCCTGGCACGCGGCAGGGGCTCTGGCAGGCGCCGGCGCGGCAACCTGAGAGCGGCCGTGGCTCCCTCAGCCTGCGAGCCCAGGCCGTGGGGCTGTGCCCCACATCACCCCAAATCCCACCTGCATCCCAGCCTCTCTCGCCACCCCCTCGCTCCCAGGGAGGCTGCTTTGCTCTCATCCTCCCTGCTTGTGGCCAGGCCTGACATCATCCATAATGACAGTGCCAGGCCTCTGTTCCCGGGATGCCGGCGCTGCCGTGGCTTGCACAGGGGAGCACTCCTGGGAACACCGCTGGGATCTCACGTGCAGGCCACGGGGATGGGTGAAAGCACCAATCCCATGGTTCTGGCATCACCCTGGTACTGCCCCCTCCACGTCAGGGACAGACTGTGCCTGGGGAAACCAAGGCAGGGAGCACTGACGGGGGAGGGCTGGGCAGCCCCTGGTGGTTGAGCCTCGTGCTGGGCCTGCCGGGGGTATAATGAGCCTCCTGGGGCATCATGCTGGATCCATCCTGTGGCACTGGGATGTGGCACCCAATGCTGTTGGCCAAGGGGGTCCCCTGTCTCGTGCCATGGCCCCAGCCCTGGAGCAGGGCCACCAGGTCACAGGGAAGGGGCTGGGAGTGAGGCCATATGGACACACCGAGACCCAGTGTCACCGCCAGCACACTGGTGCAGGAGCAGGAGTGGAAACACAAGCCCGTGTCCCCTGCTGGGGACAGTCTGAGACAAAAACTGGGGCTAGAGGTGCCTCATTACCTCCCTTGTGACACAACGGTGGGGCACAGGGTGGGCAGCACCCTGGGTAGGGTGAGTGCCCACCTGCAGCGGCACTGGGAATGCCAGTGGTGGTGTGCACATGGTGCACATGGTCACGGCCACGCCGCCTGGGAGAAGGTGACAATGGGCTGGGTTTGGTGCCTGTGATGGAGGGACAAAGGTGAAGCCGTTTCAGGCTGTAAACATCGCTGCTGCTTCGTGTGGGGCAGGTAGGGTTGGCCAGAGGGCGCCGAACTCGTGACAGTGTTTGTGGTTTGTTGGCTGGGGACACCCGGGAGTGCCCCAGCCCCTGGCTGGGCTGACGTCACCCCTGCAAGGCTGGGGGAGGAAGAGGAGCCGTCCAGTTTGTGGCCGGGAGCGAAGGCCGCGGTGACGCAGTGCCAGCTGCGTGCAGCCTGGCAGGTAGGCATGGCAGGGAGGCATGGCCATGTGCCAGCCTGGTGGGTGCAGAGCCGCAGCCCCAGGGCTGTCCAGCTGTGCCAGGACCTCATGGCTTTGGCCAGAGAGCCCTGACTGGGCAGGGGAGCTGCCCCGAGGTGAGGCAGAGCCTCGTGCCACACAGCGGCTCCTGGCACACATCTGGATCCACTGCCAAGGCTGTGAAACCCTAAAGTACCCAAGGGGCACCCACACCTCAGCACTGGGGTCCCAGCAATGGCCCCCCACTTGACTTGGGGCAGCTGGGCTTGGGAACCCCCTCGGCCAGCGCCCCAGAAGACCCCTGGTGGGTCTGGGCTCTCCTGCTGTGCTCAGCCCTAGGGCACGGGGCACATCTGAGCCAGGTGCCCACCGAGCCATGGGTGGTGCCATGCAGGCACAAGAAGCGGTGCCAGGGTCGAGGCAAGCGGCAGGAGGGATCCTGCAGGCAGATCTCTCTGTGCCAGGGCTGTGACTCCAGCTCTCACACCCCCCCAGGGCACTGGCCACCTAAGCTGTGTCAGGCTCACTGTGCCACGTGCCACCAGCATGGCACCACACTGGCACAGGTGCTTTGGCCAGTCCCTGGCAATCAGCACCTGGCCGGATGTGGCCCTTGGCAGTGGCAGCGGTGCTGCCCCACCCACACCGTGCCCACCCTGCCCTGGGCCAGCAGACAGCTGCCGGTGGCATCTCAGGACCCCGGGAGGGGGTCCATGCCAGGGACCTCAGCCCCATGGCGGGCCAGGCCTGCCAGAGCCCTGGGGGGGACGTGGCGAGCCCGGCGCCTGCTGGGAGGGCTCCCGGGACCCGTCTGACGGGTTCGTCGGCTCTTCCCGCACCCGGACAAGCCCGGGCCGGCGGGACACCCAGCCACCGCCCAGCAGCGCCTGCTGGGTGGGGGAGAGTGGCTGCCCTGCTCTCTGGGGCTCTGAGGACCCCCTTCCCCAGGAATCCGCACCGGGAGGGGGGTCCTCGCAGCCCCTCATCCCTGTGGGGAGAGTTCCTGCCCCCTCCCTGGGGGCACCGGGCCCCCCCAGCCCCACCAGAGTGCAGGGTCGGGACCCCACGAGTGCTCCACCGTGGGGGCTGTGGGGGTCTGGGTGCCCCAGCAACACCCCCATTAGATGCGATCCCACCCCCAGGCACAATCCAGCCCCCAAATCCCCTTGGCTGGAGGTGCTGGGGGGGAGATAAGGGCGTCCCCCACCCCGCAGGAGCCGCCAGATCCCCCCAGAAGAGGCAGGAGCCGGCATGCCCGGCAGAGCCAGACGCGCCGGAGGGGCGATGCCGGAGTTCCCATGGGGTTGCCAGCGCCTCGTGTCTGCTCGCTCCGTGCAGCTGGCGAGGATGGCAAGGAAGGATTTCCTGCTCCCAAACGCCACCCCAGCACCCCCAAGGCTGCGTGTCACCCCCCGCGCTGCCCTTACCTTCAAGCGCTCTGCTGTCCACATTCCTGCGGGAAGCACCGCGTCCCTGCCGGCGCTGGGGGGTCGGTGGGGAGCAGAGGCAGCGGTGGGGAGTGCCCTGCATCCCCCTGGCAGCGGTGTCGAGCCTGGTGTGCCTGGCAAGGCGGGTGGCACGGTGGAGGTCAGCCCTCTCCTGAACGCCTGTCCGAGCCGGAGCCCCCCAGGGACCCCTCCGAGGGCTGGAAGTGCTGCACGCCACCGTGACATGGATCCCTTTTTTTATCCTTTTATTTTTTTTTTTAATAGACTAAGAGCAGAATATGAAAATCACCAGCCAAAGCACTTTGAAAAAAAGATCGAGAATGTTTTTTTTGTTTTGTTTTGTTTTGTTTTTCCCCAAAAAGTGTCTGTGCGTTTGCATAGGTCGGGTCTTCACGGAAGACGAGGAAAATCCAACACGTTTGACTATGTACAAGCCAGCCTGGGGCCGGCGCCGCTGCCTATGGTACAGTATAGATATATCTCTGTAGTCGCTCTCTGTACAGTATGTATAGATCTATATGGGTATGTACACACTGCCCGGCCCCGGGGGTCCCTGCTCTCATCGGGCTCTGCCCCCCA